CATTTGGAGATCTGTCTGTTCAGTTGCCTGTATGCTGTCAAATCTGTTGAAGAATGTAGCTTCATCTCCCGTCTAAGCCATGAGATTAAGAGTGTGTTCGGAGAGTTTTTGTGTTCTTCTGCGGCGGGCTTGTAGAACTTAGCTCCGACCGCATGGACAGTTTCCACGAGCTTGTCATTCATATCGTCCACTTCATTGCAGTCTTCTAGGCACTGAAAACGGTTTTGTAACTCGAGCTGAAAGGTTTCGGGACTTTGGATTAGAGCACGAGGGAGACGGAGCGTTGACTTCATTAGACGAGACCTCTCCAACTTAACGTTTAGGTTCTATGTGCCTCTAACCATTCGGTGATCGCTGCCGGTTTTCACCCTCGCGATCACTGAGGCATCACTGAACAGTTGTCGTCTGGTCGTCATAATGAAGTCAATCTCATTTTTTGTCAAGCCGTCGGGGCTCGACCAGGTCCACTTCCTGTGGGGCCGCTTCTGGAAGAAAGAGTTCATCATAAAGAGTCCCTCTTTCTCCATGAAGTCGGCCAGCTGCTGGCCCCTTGGGTTCCGTTGCCCTATTCCAAATTTCCCTACTTTCAGCTCACCATTCTCTCTTGTGCCTAGTTTTGCATTGAAGTCTCCCATTAACACCGTATATTGGGTTTTGGAGGAATGCATGGCTCTAGAGATATCCTCATACATTTCTTCCACCTCCTCATCGGGGTGTGCCGAGGTTGGTGCGTAAACCTGTATGACTTTCAGCGAATACCGTTTGGTGATTCTGAGTAGAATCACCAAACGTGAAGACGTAGAAGGTACGCAACCCTCGTCGACAGACTCTCAATCTTTACAACGTTGTTAATGAGAGACTTGTGGACGATAAATCCGACACCTCCTTGGGACAGATGGTCGCCCTCCCGGTAAAAGAGCAAGTTGCCGGATTCGAGGATTACCGTTTCCTCCCCCTCTCTTCGGACTTCGGATAATCCTATAATATGCCAGCGTAACTTGTCTATCTCTTCTTCCAGCTCCACAATCTTCTCGTCAGTCCTCAGGGTGCGTGCGTTGTGTGTTGCCAGGTCGAGTCGTCGTAGGTGGCAACCGAACCTCCACCGGAGATTCTTAGCACCCCCTGCCCCGCCGTTACCATGGTCGCCACCGTAGCCAGGAATAGCGGGGCCGCCGGGAACTGGGGGCCGTCTCTTAGTAACTTTATCCATTTGGGGGGTATTTGCCATAGTTGCCACGCTTGGCGAGCGGGTTGGCAACTGCAGTTTTTTTATTGTATTTTTGCTGTTATCAGGAAGATTCTGCTGCCCTTCTCCTGCCTGTTTCCCTTTGTCGCCTTTTACGACACCCACGGGAAGATATGGGGTAGTGGATATTCTTAACCGCCACTACACGGCAGTTTCATTTATCAAGTGCTAAATTGACATATGGTGTTTCATTTAAAAATTCGATTTCAAATGTCGCCTTAAACCCTAAAACCACATAAAAGCCCTTTTAAGGCAACCGTATGCCACTGGCAAAAATTTCTGTACTGTCGTCCTAACTTTGATAGAAGAAGTAGTCCCCTTTGAAAGCTGTTACGAAAGACAACATGCTAGCAGTGAAAAATTAATTGAAGAGAATAGGCGAATTACATGAGTATATAATACATATTAAGAAATTTAGCAAATATTGCAGATTGAAGCATAACGATTTTACCCGAACACCTTCTCGTGAGGACGATAGTTGGCTGCCGCACAACCGCTCACCGATTCATAGAAGCAGGCCCGCGTGGAATGGTAATATATATATATATATATATATATATATATATATATATATGGCATTTCGTTCGATAACTTATTACTATATGTAGGTAGTGACATAATCCCGTTGCTGTAGAAATCTGGGGATTTTTGATTTAAAAAAATGCGACAAGTAGTTTTAACAGTCCTCTCTTGGTGTGGATCTAACACTACCCAAAGAATTCTGAAGAGACCGAAACAGGGAAAATCTGAGGGTGCAAGGTCAAGACTATATGGTAGATGCATTAACACTTCCCAACCAAGCTCCCTCAATTTTTGCTGAGTGGCGAAACAATGTGTGTGGTCTGGCGTTGTCATGATGTAAGATCACTCCTTTTCTGTTGATAAATTCCGGCATTTTTTCCGCAATTTCTTATTTGAGTATCATTAGTTGTTGGCAGTAGATATACAAATCGATGGTTTTACTCGGCGGTAAAAGCTCATAATAAACGATGCCCTTCCAATTCCACCATACACACAGCATCACCTTATTGCGTGTTAATCCGGGTTTCGCTACAGTCTGTGGAGATTTACTGATCTCTGACCGTGATCTTTTTTGGCACGTTCTTGTCGTAAATGATCCACTTCTCATCACCAGTGATCAATCTTTTCAAAAATGGTTCGGTTTCATTACGTTTCAATAGAGAATTGCAAATCAGTACACGGTTCATCAGATTTTATTCAGTGAGCTCGTGTGGTACAAAAGTAATATATTGTGTGAATTAATAAATTAACTGATAAATGTAATTTATTTAATAACTTGACTACAGCGCCACCCATCGGATCTTAGCATAGCCATGACTTATCGGGACAAAGCAAAATATTTTGAGTGACTGTAACCACAATCGGCCAAGTCGTTCTGAAATTACACGATTACTAACTAGCGCAGCAACGAATAGTATATAATTATATTCTACAGTTGGTATTATTGTTACCTACTAATGGTAGATACGTATTTTTTTTTATAGGATAAGGGTGACAAACGAGCACACAGTCCACCTGATGGTAAGTGGTTGCTGTGGCCCATAGACACCTACATTTATTCTAGATTAGGAATCAAAATGCAGATGCGTTGTCACCCGTGAGGATTAAGATGGAATACCTCGTTTCCAGTAAAAAGGGTCTCCGGTTCTCTACACTCACCATACGAAACACAGCAACATTAAGCTGTTATTTTACGCTGGTATTCTGAGAGGTCGAGCCGACCCATTCGTGTTACAACTATACCAGAAATATAGCTGCAGCATGGCTCTACCACGTACAAAATTAGTATTATACTCCTTGCAGCTGATAGCCTTACGCGCTAACAGGGAAACGCTAACTTCGTTTTAACCTACCCTTGTTCAATATACCTAACGTTTATGTGATATAGTCGGAACAACTGATGTGGGGACTGCCACAACGAAACCACTTATGACAGAGCCACACTAGAATACAAATGGGTCGGCTCGACCGGGAAAGTACCACGCTCTCACTGAATACCAGCGAACAAAGCTAGCACAATGCATATGTGGTAAAGTAAGTCATAAGATATTATAGTAAGTTCATAAGCTAGTGCAGATAACTGGAGACCCTTTGTACTGGTATTCAGGGATGTCATCACTTCTCTATTTTGACTCTCAATTGAGTATAGATGTATATAGGTGTCTATAATATAAACCACAATTCACTGATCATCAGATGTAGTAGATACTGTGCGATCGTTTGTGATGTGCGAAACAAATACCCAAAATAATTTAGGTATCTTTGTTACTAGATAGTCAGATACACCTACCAGAGTTCGGCCTGAGTGTCTGATGCATGTCAAAAAAACATTTTTGTAGTAAGTGGCGACCCTTCGACGCACACATCGGTACACCGTACGAGCATTTTCCACACTAGCCTTAGGCTTAAATACAACAAAACAAACTTTATGCTATACTCTACATTAGAACGAGGAAAAGACATTAGACCAATCCCAAGAGAAAGATTAAGGAATCATACAATATATTACAATGTAAAATGTACAACCTTATTACAATGCACTGATTCGATGATGTCTCCAGAAGTTCTCTGTAGGCATTATTTCCAATAGCAAATATGTGAGGTGGAATGTCTCCAATACTCCTGTCTTGATAAAACTGTATTTGATCCATTGTGTATATCGGCAGTATTTCATATGGATTAATCGCGATCAACATTGTTCCGGTATATGTCTAAAACAGTAGATTATTTTTTGTATCTATAATTCTTTAACTCTGAATATTTTTTAAGCGAGCTATATAGCAAATTTTTAGAAACTAAAAAAGTTTTTCTTACATATATTAATTGCCGGATATAACGTATATGAAGGTTACGTAGAATGGTGTGCTCCTGGAGTTCCCCAAGTGTGATCATGTCTTCGACACTGTTAATAGATGTGGCATGCAGGGGCTTAATAACATTACTGACCGATGTTGAGAAAACTTTACCATCGTCATCTTGAACTTGTATTAGATCACCAGAACTGTTGAGTATTTTAACGGCAATGGGAATATCAAATTCTGATTTTCCTTCTGGTTTTAACCAAACAATATCCTAAAAACAATAAATTACTAATGCTCTTATCATAATATTGTAAAAAGAGAAAATCCCAAAGGGTATTTGTATTGTCTATTTTGTAAAACGCTACTACGACTCGAAAACAACTTACTGAAAGCCGAATTCTATCAGCCATTTTTAACTTTGAGATTCCATTCACTGAATTTTAAACTTTCTCAAACTATAACACAAACATATTGACGACGTAACCAAATCATGAATACTGAAAACTACTTATCAATGTTCTAGATTATTTATCGTTATTGTATAGATAATAACTCACAACTTATCATAAAATATTTCAAGATAGCATTTTACAACTTCTACTTCATAGCCACTCGTATTTCATATTCTCGAATACAATTCTCACTTGTATTTAACAAAAATAATATTTTTGTCCAATTTTATAGCATCCGATGAAGTCTTATCCTGATGAAATATACCCAGACCAGTGACAGGAAAATCATCAAGTGAGAAGTTTGGTTCTGCTATCACCAATCTGCTTGCGTATCAATGATTACAAATCGTCCTTAATGTGGGATAAGCCCATGTTCACCAAAGGAAGATTAATATAAGCTTGGATAGAAATAAATTTACAAAAAAACTATATAACATGTCTTACATTCCATCTGATGGTAGGAAATAAAAAAGGCATTTAAAGAATTAGTAAATACAATTTATTTTAAAAATAATCCAGTATTCGATCACTTAAACTACTGACTCTAAATTACTTTTTCTTTTCTTCCTTTTCCTTTTTATCTGCTTTTACTTTGTCTTCTGTCTTCTTATCATCTTTATCATCTTTTTTATCTTTCTTTTCTTTAGACTCTTCTTTCTTTCCTTCTTCTGCGTCTCTGTTTGTTATTTTATTGTTGATAAGATTATGCAAAGCTATTATAGATCTGACAAGTGCGGCTAGGTATACAACGAGAGATTGATCATTAGTCTTGATGTAGAGATTATCAATAAAGTTATCACTAGCAATATCAGGCAATAAGTTGAATATGTCCTGTAACTGGTATATGATTTGGTGGTTCATTGGTAGGGATCCCTGACCAACTTGAATGAGGTAATCGCGGATTTCGCTAAGCTGTGAATGAAGGCCACGAAGTCCGAGCAATTGATTAGTGATACGCTGTGAGAGACTACCAACAGTTGTATCTTTAATGTCTCGTAGCAAGTGTTCAACTCCAACTTCTTCTGCCTCTTCTGCACCTATTTCACTAGGCACATGTTCAAATGTTCTCGTTGTAGGACTACCATCATCATGAACTTCTTCAACAGCCTGGTATGCTTCAGTGGGCAAACCAAGATCCTTTGGCTTAGCATCAATAATAACAAGAACAGAGTTAGGGCAATAACGTCTAATCAATTCATTTATTGCCACATCATTTTGGTGTAGTTTAGGCCCAGTATGGTACCAGCCTACAACCTTCTCACGGGCGTTTACTTTTTTAAACATCCCATACATGTTCTCCAAGTAATCATGGTCTAAAAACCAAACAGACTTGTCCTTGTCGTCTTCATCAAAAGGAACTAAAAATGCAAAAATGAAATATTAGCAATAATCATTTATACCACGGAAGTGTGTTACATTGGCTAGCCTGCAAAGCATCTATTAGAAAGATATATTAGTCCGTAATTAATCGCCATATAGTGGCGTAAGAGAATCCAAATACCTCGCATCACCTCTGGGGTATAACAACTCAAAATAATATAAAACTGCCAAAAGATTGCCAACCCGCCTGGTAAGCATAGCACTATAGCAAACCTTAGTAAGAAGGTAATCTTTGCGGGAAGCTTGTGTTCAGCAGTGGAATTAATTAGGCCATAAAGGTGAAAACGATAATGATGATCCCATAAGAGTCCATGTCATAGACGAAAAATTTATCATATTAAAAAATTTCTAAATTTTGTACAACCGACTTCAATATAAATTATTAAGTATAACTCAAAAACTGTTGGCCAAACCTTGATCATTTATATGGGACCACATGTGAAGCACCAGCTTTCAAATAAATAATTAAAAATTAAAAAATTTGTACAGCCGACTTCAATATAAGTTATTAAGAATAACTCATATAACTCAAAAACTATTGGTTTGACCTTGATCAAATTCATATGGGACCACACGAGAAGTATCAGCTTTCATATAAAAAAAGAATCATCGAAATCGGTCCACCCAGTAAAGAGTTATGAGGTAACACACATATAAAAAAAACATACGCGTCGAATTGAGTACCGTCTCCTTTTTGGAAGTCGGCAGAAAAAGGATTGTTTTAAGTACGGTGGCAAACTTTGTTGAGTATCACGTGAGTGGTGTTTTTAGTATTCTAGATATTTTTCCCTAGTATCTGAAATGTGGACTGTCTGTAAAGTATGTGTAATGAAATTTTGTAAACTTATGAAATGTGGTTACGCAAATACAGACATGGGGTTATGGTCTAAGAGCCGGCTACGAAAACGTGAACTGATAAGGTGTAGTAACGAATTGTATATATAACCTCTCCTTGGTAGCTTAATAGTACAGAGCGACGTCCGTCAGAACTCTCTCCCGGGGCGGAAGGCGTGGGTGGGCGGTCAAAGTCGTAAATTTTCAGTAAGAAAAAAATGATTAGGTGCAGTTCTGAAATTTTTGTAAAGTTATAGTTTTTAACTGTAGGAATCTAGAAAAATTATTGTCAGAAGTCTAGGTCGGAGCTTAAAGACTGTCAGAAGTCGAAAAAGTTGTAAATAAATTGTTTAAATTTAAACCACAAGGTGCAGTTCTGACAATTGCATTTTTATATTGTTTATAGCTTACCGAACCTGTACATATATTGTCAGAAGGCTAAATAATGGCTAAGTACAGAAAAAATTATGCTATGGTCAGAAGTTGTTAAAGCGGCTATCACAAAATACAAAATTTTACTGAAATGCTTTTCCCTCTTAACCTCTACTTTCTACCTACTTCAAAGAGGAGCAGGTACTCAATTAGACTGTATGTTTTTTCTTGTGTCTCATAAGTTCTTTCTGGGTGAACCGATTTCGACGATTTTTTTTTTATTTGAAAGCTGGTGCTTCTCATGTGGTCCCATATAAATTTGATCAAGGGCTGACCAATAGTTTTTGAGTTATTCTTAATAATTTATATTGAAATACAAAATTTTTAATTATTGAACATAAACATGTTTTGAGTAGCTCATTGCTCTTTGCAATTATAAAACCAGTTTAATATTTATTAATTATTTTATTACATATTATAAAAATTACTATCATATAATAGGTACTTAAAGTTGCAGACTATATACGTCCCACAGCTGGGCACAGGCCTCTTCTCATTTCTGAGAGGGTTATAAGTACTTAGTATTAAGAAATTATAAACTTTGTTATTGCTATTTACTTCTTTGTAAACTTAAAAATTATAACAATAAGGGTCGTGTTGTTTCGGATTTGTTTATCAACATCACCGCCGCTCGCCCTCATACAATATGAACGATACTGTTATTATGTATCTGTGTGTGTGAAATTGTTAGTTTATTGTGTTACTTGTTATATGTGAGTTTCTAAGTTCCAGACGATTTTTTTTTCATGTGCGCAGATTTCCCCCGCAAAATTTAACAGAGAGTTCACCAAACAAACTTATAAAGTTATATAGAGGCAAATATTCTCCTCAAAAGGTAAAATATATATTTAAAAAACTGATATAGAAAGATATTTTCATGCTTATTCCTAGCGTTCCTCCTAGCTGATTAAAAAAAAAACTTTTTGAACTCCACGATTTTTTTATACTATAATTCTCCGAAAAGTTAGACTTGTCTTACTTGATCTTGTATTACTTGTCCTATACAATATCAGGAAGCACTTATTGCCGTCTCGGTACCATATCGGCCTCATTTATTTACAACCCCAATTCTCTATATTATTGTATATTAATGTAACCCAAATAAATAAAAATAATAATGTAGAAATAAAATTGAATCATTTGGATGAGAATGATGTTAGAGTAAATATTAACAGTTTCCCCGTCCGCAAAATAGACAATAGTTAAACAGTCGAAAATCTAAATGTCCATATATGATTAATGGGACAAGGGAAAGGGTTAAGTAGGGTAAATTGCAGTGCTACCTTTTGCTCTGATCAAATGATTTAAGAGATAAGAGATGATATTGAAGAGTAATAACATAGTTTATTATTGACATTACTCTTCAATATGTGACACAAAAAAATTACAATTATAATAAAACACGACTGCAAAAAATCAATTAAATAAAATATATCTAATGCATACCTAACTACCTACCTACCTATAGTGAAGTACGTACTATCTACTACTACCTACCCTTCAAATTCGTTATCATTTTCAATGCCTCATTTTCTCATATCAGAAACCTTTCCAGGTGTGCTCACAACAACCCACAAAAGTTTCATCGTAATCTGATGAATGGTTTCATTTAGGGTTATTTCTCAAGAAGTATTCAAATTTAATAATTAAGTTCGAAATATAAATACTGATATACCCCACACTTTTTATAGTTTTTAAAAATATGTGTGAATAATTACATTACATCACCATTTAATTGAAAATATCTGAAATTGAATGCGATTTATGGGCATCAACTACAGTGTATGCGCGCTCGTGTGTACAAGTCAATGCATAAAGCTTTTGTTTACTATTTACTTCCTTAATGACACACTCACTACTAAGTTGATAACTACGTGACTAAAACAACTATTGGATACCTAAATCTGTAACCAAGCGCAAGCGCCGAGTGCCACCGACTGCTTCAGAATTAAACTATCCCTTACCAATGTGTGCGTGTGTAGTAAAATAGTAGACTTTACACTTGCATATTTATGAATAACAATCAGTTAAAATAATGCATTTACACACTTTTCGAATTTAAATGATAAAACAAAATGTTTGAATCATTTTTCATCATTCTTTTATATTACCTATTCTGAACCTCCTATGCAAATTTGGGCATGTATTGCAAAATAACTCAATAAATTATAACATGTTTTTTTAATATAAAATAAGGGTGACAAACGAGCACACAGTCCACCTGTCATACTAATATAATAAAGTAATATAAAAAATAAAAAGAATAAAAATAAATTTATCATTATCTGCCGTCTATTTCCATATAACAGTGTATTAATGTTGCCAAATAATACTAAGTTCGTACAGCATCTCACAATACATATCACAACTTAGCAGGTAGTGTCTTACCAGATTTTTTAAGCAATATATGTTGTAGAGAAAAAGTGCGAAATTTGGGCGAGGTGTAGCAAATACTCAAGGTCGTTCGCGAGTGGAAACGCCTTAAAGAAACACATGATTTTCCTATGATAGATACACATTTTCCAAACATGGACAAGACAGGTCATGTGTAACATTCATATCACACCTATGCCAGTAGTTTTTGAGAAGACAACACTCAAAGTTGTTGACAATTTTTACCTAGGACAAATTGTCTGACTGAACTTTGCCTAAGAGGTCAATTAACCATTTTGGTAAACAGTAAATGAAATGCAGGGTGCCCTCCCCAGTAGATGGATTAATTGGTAAGAGATGCAGAAAGTGTATGAATGTAAGTGGCTCAGGACCAGGATCATGCTTTATTACATCCCTTGCGGGAGGCCAATGTTCAGTAGTTTTTTATGATGGATAGATAGTTTGATTACTTTACCTTTTTAAAATTTCCACTTCAACAAGAAACTCAGTGAACAAATGCAGTCTTAAGTCAATAAAGAAATTAAGTTGAATGCTATAACAAAAGCTACAAAGTAATACAGTAGACTCTCACTAATCAACACTTAAGTACATCGGCACATCCAGTAGTCCAGCACCCTACTCTACCGCTCCCTCAGCCTGCACCTATCTTTTCCGTCGCTCCTTGGCTGATCAATATGAGTAAAAGCTGGCGCATATAAGGTAGTATTACTACTCTCGCTTAAATATGTACCTAATACTGCACAAGTAGTAATTTGTCATTAAAATAGCGAAGATCAATATGTCGAGCATACAGAAACATAAGACTTAAGCATTGAAAGAGAAAATGGAGATTTTAAAAAGTTAACAAGGAAAAAATGTGCAAACTGGCGAGTTGGAAGTGCAAGTGTGCACGATATTAAGAAAAACAGACAGAAGATGGAGGAACTCATGAAGACACAAATATTTTAAACAAAAACTACAAGTAGCAAAAAACAGATCTTTAACCCCTTACCGCATACCAAGCCATATATGGACACAAAAGTTTATGATTTTTTTCTAGCCTAATGAAAAAGTTGATCTTTAAAAATACCTTTAATTAGAAGAAGCATATTTGTCTTAATTTCGAATGTAAATCATTAGTCCATGGTAATTGACATTTTGTCAACTATATTTGAAGTTATTAGTAACGTGTGTGGTCGGCTGGTGTCAAAAAAACAAGTGCAACTTTTGGGATTCTAAATAAAATAGGTACTCAACGGTAAGTAAAACATATTAAAAAATATGACTATATGCTTTATATCCTCTAAAATATAAAATTAGTATTTTAATTTTTTTATTTCAATGCCAAGCTTTTTTTCTTATTTGCCTTTTTTCCAATCTGCCATATTTGGCTTCTTATGCGTTACTGTAAAAAATACTGTTGTCATATTTGGCTTCGTATGCGTTCGAGGTTATTGTTTGCTTATTTCAAAAATTGATCCTTTTCACTTTTATGGAAGATTCAAGCATGTTAATAAAATTCCTGGTGATGGCAACTTGACCGACGATGATGTTTCTTCTACCAGTGGCGATGATTTTGAACCTAACTCTATTCCCTAACGTCAAAAAAGACATATTGATAACAATATGTCTTTTTACTAACTCGGAATCTGATTACTGTTACAGACTGTATTTATATCTAAGTTAAGGGGGGAAAGTCTAAAAAGGAGCGAGTTATTTAGATAAAGAGGAAAATGCCCGCTTATGACAACGCTGACTTTGAATTCAAAGGTGATTCAGAATTATGATTTCTTATATTTACGCGAACACTACACATTTTTAAATAAAACTAATTTTACGG